TACATAGTTAAATTCACAAAAGGAGAAAGACTTGCACAGCTCCCACACGGATAGCACCAATGGCTCTATTTGCCAAGGCAAATGAACCTTTTTGTTAATAGCTTGCACAAGCTCTTTGCTGTCAGATTCAAAAATGATGTCTTTGAGGCCATTCCTAGCTGCCCAGCCTACTGCAGCTCTTAATGCGAGAGTTTCAGCCATTAAAACAGAACTAATTGATTGTTTGAAGGCCAAACCATCAACAAGAGAACCCCTACTGTTGCGACAGACCACAGCTAGACCTGCAACACCATTTTTAACATCCACAGCTGCATCAGTATTACATTTAACAACATCTTCGGGTGGTGGACTCCACCGTTGTAATTTATCCTCTAATCCATCCCGAAGTTGTAGCACTGGTGGAATAAGGGGGTCTTTACCATTAACTCTACAAAACTCGTCTGCTAGAAATATGGCCTTCTGAACAACCAGTTGCGGTGGCATTGCTTGGCCTTGAAAAATGCCTAGATTCCTGTTTTTCCATATATACCAGAACAAGCAAGTGGTTTCTTCCATTATATTTGGAATACATTTATCCCATTGGGAGGAAACAAAACTCCACCAATTAACCATCTCAGAAATAGATGAAATAGTAGGATGAAAGGCAAGCCGAGAGACAAACCAAGTTCGAGCAGCGTATTGACAAGTGAATAGCATATGGGTAATAGACTCCTCATCCCCACCACAAAGACCACAAACAGGGCTCTCCACTATGCCCTTATGAAAAAGATTTGCCTTAACAGGTAGAGCATTAGTGAGAACTTTCCACAAGAAAAGTTTTACCTTGGGGGGGACAACCAACTTCCATATAGATTTCAAAAAGGAGGGAAAAGGACTGACCTGGAAATTAGTTAATGGAAACAATCCAAAACCATTCGTCCTTGCAAGGTGATAAGCAGAACGAACTGTGAACTCCCCAGTCCTTGTAAAATGCCATATTAATTTGTCTGGAGATGGGCCAGCTGGAACTTGTACTATATCCTTCACATCTTCAGGGCATAAAAGAAGATTAAGCTTCTGCAAATCCCACCCGAAAGTGGGGGTTAGCAAATTACATACCCTGACGTTGTAGCCATGTTGTGGTTGGGGGGTTGAAACCTGAAATCCCTGCTTGGTAGGTATCCATTTGTGACCCCAAAGGAACACATTTTGACCATTACCAATGTTCCACCGCAGCCCCAATTTTAGAACATCTCGTCCTTGTAAGAGACTTCTCCAAATCCAAGAGGGAGTGAAACCAAGCTTAGCCTGCAAGAAATGGCCATGAGGGTGATACAAAGCACGCAAAAGCTTCACCGATAGACTATTAGGATTGTGAATAAGACGCCAACATTGTTTGGCCAAAAGAGAGAGATTAAAAGCTTCAATATCTCTAAATCCTAACCCTCCATAAGTTTTGTTTATTGATAGTTTCCCCCAACTCACCCAATGGATTCTGGACTTATCATCTCTTTGCCCCCACCAAAAGTTACTCATCAAGCTATTTAATTGGTGACATACATTTTTTGGAAACTTAAAACAGTACATAGCATAAGTGGGAATTGATTGGGCCACAGATTTTATCAAAACCTCACGGCCAGCTGTAGATAATAGCGATTTCTTCCAAG